TAGAATTGAGATAGGTTTTCCATAAATGTCTTTGTAGTTTAAAAATCAGGTTCACGCTGGTGATGTCTTCATAGTTAATTAAGAATCTCATGTGCTAACTGTTAACTGTTTGTAGAATATAACACAATTTACATGGTATGCCTGGTGTAGAAAAGAATGAGGTTTCCTTAATAGAAGGCAATCAATCCTTACTTTTCAAGAGTTTATAGTTTAAATGGAGAGATGGAATAACAGTAATGAATTGAAAATCAACAAGTGCATGTTAGAACTGGACATGGAACAACAGACTGGTTCCAAATCGGGAAGGGTGTACGTCATCCTGCTTATTTTAACTTATATGCAGAGTACACCATGAGAAATGCTGCACTAGATGAAGCACAAGCTGGAATCAAGACTGCCGGGAGAAATATCAATAACCTCAGATAGGCGGATGACACCACCCTTATGGCAGAAAGTGAAGAAGAACTAAAGAGCCTCTTGATGAAAGTGAAAGAGGAGAATCAAAAGTTGGCTTAAAACTTTAACATTTAGAAAACTAAGATCATGGCATCTGGTCCCATCACCTCATGGCAAATAGATGGGGAAACACTGACACTATATTTTGGGGGGCTCCAAAATCACTGCAGATGGTGACCGCAGCCATGAAACTAAAAGATGCTTGCTCCTTGGAAGAAAAGTTAAGACTAACCTAGACAGCATATTAAAAGCAGAGACATTACTTTGCCAACAAAAGTCCATGTCGTCAAAGCTATGGTTTTTCCAGTAGTCATGTGTGGATGTCAGAGTTGGCCTATAAAGAGAGCTGAGTGCCGAAGAATTGATGCTTCTGAACTGCAGTGTTGGAGAAGACTCTTGAGAGTCCCTTGGACTGCAAGGAGGTCCAACCAGTCCATTCTAAAGGAGATCGGTCCTGAGTGTTCATTGGAAGGACTGATGTTGAAGTTGAAACTCCAATACTTTGGCCACCTGATGTGAAGTACCAACTCACTGGAAAAGACCCTGATGCTGGGAAAGACTGAAGGTGGGAGGAGAAGGGGATGACAGAGGATGAGATGGTTGGATGGCATCACTGACTCAGTGGACATGAGTTTGAGTAAACTCCAGGAGTTGGCGATGGACAGGAATGCCTGGCAAGCTGCAGTTCATGGGATCACAAAGGGTCGGACATGACTGAGCAACTGAACTGAACTGAACTGAATTGACAGTGCATGTTAGAGTATATAAAATGAAGGTGGAAAAACAAATTGATGATGACAATCCAACCTCTAAATGTTAAGTTGACAGGATTTATTAAAAGAAAAAAGGAATTGTTTTTGAAGGAAGTACAGAATTTGTAGAGCTCGGCACCAAGTCCCAGGCTGCTTAGGGAGATTCCTGTGAGTGTTGACCCAAAGGACAATGGATGATTATGCTTTTCTGGGTCTCATAAGTGAAGTGTAGAGGTGACTATCAGAACTGTGAGAGATCTAGCTCAATCTTAGGCCTTCTGTAGTTCTTTCTGGTTGTGTGTGTTTCTTTGGGTATTTTAACTATGTACTCACGTGCATCCTTCTAAAACACTTCTTCCCAACACAACCTGTAAAGGCTAGGAGGATGTGATATGCTCATAAGAAACATGTGCCATGTCCCTTTCCTCAACAAAGTTACCTATATGTCTCATCTTCTAGTGTATGTGTGCTCAGTCGTGTCTGACTCTTAGGGACCCTATGGATGGTAGCTTGCTGGGTTCCTCTGTCCATGGGATATTCCCAGCAAGAATACTGGAGTGGGTTGCCATTTCCTCCTCCAGGGGATCTTCCCAGCCCAGGGATTGAACCCGTATCTCCTATGTCTCCTGCATTACAGGCAGATTCGTTACTGCTGAGCCATGGGGGAAGCCCATAATGGCTCATTTTAATCCACTAGAATATTGATGGCCTCCAAAATAGCTGTCACTGTGAGAAGTGAAAAGGTTTCCACTTCATTGTGGTGTCATTTCAGTACTTGTTAATCATCATTAAAATAATTTCCTGAGATTCTATTTATGTGAACAACCACTGTGGCAAATGCAGTAATATATTTAATCTTGCTTCCTGGCATTCACAATCAAGGGAGGTGAAATGGGTCTTTAGTTAAAAGGAAAGTAACACTGATTTGTTACAAGCTGATGGGAGGAGGACAAATTGGTTACATGCTGAGGTTTCTTTTGTGAACTGTCTCACAGAGTAGCACTTTAAGTGGTAGACAAACTACTTTCAGTCTGGTCTCAGGTACCCTGTACAGAAAAACCGAGAGCAAGAAACAGGGACAGAAATGAAATCCTAATTAAACTATCAGATTGATGAGTTTTCCTAATGGTTTCCTAGATATTTTGTTTATTTATTTACTTTTCTCCAATCTTCTTTTATGTAGTCCCTTCTTTTTAAAAAAGTATTTATTTATGTGGCTACACCAAGTCTTAGTTGCAGCATGAGAACTCTTAGTTGCAGCATGTGGGATCTAGTTCCCCGACCAGGGATTGAACCCAGGGCCCCTGCCTTAGGAGCATGGAGTCTTAGCCACTGGACTACCAGGGAAGCCCTGCTATGTAGTCCCTTCTTTATATATATATATATATATATATATATATATATATATATATATATATATATATATATAATTTCTTTTCTGGTATCATTTAAAACATATATTAGTTATCACACCACTCTTGCCCATAAATAATTAAAAAAAAATCTCTCATAGATAAGGTTTTATTTTGTTTTGTTTTTTTTTAAAGCATGGATAACTGCAAAGAGACATTTCTTTTCTGGTTACAAAGTTTTCAGGAGTGGAGGGGGGATAGGTGAGAATTTTATCACCTGAATAAATGGCAACCCACTCTAGTACTCTTGCCTGGAAAATCCCACGGACAGAGGAGCCTGGTAGGCTACAGTCCATGCGGTTGCAAAGAGTCACGCACAACTGAGCAACTTCACTTTCACTTTTCACTCTCATGCACTGGAGAATGCATTCATTCCTGGAGAATCCCAGGGACAGAGGAGTTTTGTGCGCTGCCGTCTATGGGGTCGCACAGGGTTGGACACGACTGAAGTGACTTAGCAGCAGCAGCAGCACATATAGTATCTTTGTTGAGATCGCATAGAAATCTTTGTGACTTAAGGCAAACACATAAAATGTATTCTTTGATGAAAAATTCAAATGTGTTGAGTGTAAACCTGCACGCAGGTCAGAAAGCGACAGTTAGAACTGGACATGGAACAGCAGACTGGTTCCAAATAGGTAAAGGAGTACATCAAGGCTGTATATTGTCACCCTGCTTATTTAACTTATATGCAGAGTACATCATGAGAAACGCTGGGCTGAAGGAAGCACAAGCTGGAATCAAGAGTGCCGGGAGAAATATCAATAACCTCAGATATGCAGATGACACCACCCTTATGGCAGAAGTGAAGAACTAAAGAGCCTCTTGATGAAAGTGAAAGCGAAGAGTGAAAAAGTTGGCTTAAAGCTCAACATTCAGAAAACTAAGACCATGGCATCCAGTCCCATCACTTCATGGCAAATAGATGGGGAAACAGTGGCTGACTTTATTTTTTTTTTTTTTACTCCAAAATCACTGCAGATGGTGACTGCAGCCATGAAATTGAAAGACGCTTACTTCTTGGAAGGAAGGCTATGACCAACTTAGCATATTAAAAAGCAGAGACATTACTTTGTCAACAAAATGTCCGTCTAGTCAAGGCTATGGTTTTTCCAGTGGTCATGCATGGATGTGAGAGTTGAACTATAAGGAAAGCTGAGTGCCAAAGAATTGATGCTTTTGAACTGTGGTGTTGGAGAAGACTCTTGAGAGTCCCTTGGACTGCAAGGAGGTCCAACCAGTCCATCTTAAAGGAGATCAGTCCTGAGTGTTTATTGGAAGGACTGATGTTGAAGCTGAAACTCCAATACTTTGACTACCTGATGTGAAGAGCTGACTCATTTGAAAAGACCCTGATGCTGGGAAAGATTGAAGGCAGGAGAAGGGGACAACAGAGGATGAGATGGTTGGATGGCATCACTGACTCAATAGACATGGGTTTGGGTGGACTCCAGGACTTGGTGATGGACAGGGAGGTCTGGTGTGCTGTGGTTCATGGGGTTGCAAAGAGTTGGACATGACTGAGTGACTGAACTGAACTGAGTGTTACTATTGCTAACAGTAATAACTATCATTTATTGAGTTTTTACTGTGTTTGAAGTACAAAGCACTTTCACTCAGTATCTAATTTGAATCCCTACAGCAACTTTATCTACATTATCAAGTAGACATTGTAGTGTCCCATTTTATAGCTAAAGACCTTCCCCTAGATTATAGACCAAGGTAATAGTAAAGGAAAACAAACACAAACTAGCTCCATCTGCTGTATATTTCTCTATACTGCCACTGTATGAAATAGTATTCCTAACTAAGTTCTAAAATTACCAAGGTTGTCATGGCTAGAGAGATGAGTCATATGTGATTAACTGCCAAATTCCTAAGCCTATTGCTGACAAAAAAAATTATCAAAATTAAAAAGGAAAATGTGAGACTTATGAAAGACCCTAGTGTAGAGATAGTCTGGTATAGTGAAATAAATGTTTATGGATATTGAAACAAAAATCTGGTCTAAACGCACACTCTTCTACAAATTTTTTGGGACTTACCCTTTTAAATTTCAGTTTTCTTATCTAAAGCATGGGTAAAAATCTACTCCTCTAAGGCTCATGGAAAATGTAGTTTTCCCTTTCATAAATTACTTGGTGAAATATCCTGAAACACTATCAGATTCACCACTTTCCCCTCCTGCAATAGACATATTTCAAGAATTTGCGTCAGCCAACTTCCCAATATGAAGCAAAGCCTCTCCTTCCTCCTACCAATGATTGAGTCATTCCACTAGATATCAGTAGCTATTTAAACACTCCAGCAGGAACTCAAACTTTTACTTCGTAGAAGTCCTCAACAGCTTCACTCTCTCATTCTTGGAATACATTCGAAAATGACTGTTGATGACCACAAGAGCATGAAAGATCAACTTGATCAGAAGCCAAATGATGAGACAGCAAAAGGTACTAGGGCTGGGTAAATGAATACAAGGACAGAGTTAATTTAGACATGTAAACTAACTGAATATAGGAGTAGAAAACTACAATGCCTGAGTGTGGAAATATATTAGAGTTAATAACATTTACTTAAAAGGAAAACAAGTCAGACATGGTGATTAAAGAAGATGATGATAAGCTAACTTTGTATGAATGATGATGTAGTAGAGGGTGATGATAACCAACTGTTTTGATCATTTGCTATAGGCTAGTTTCTATGATATTCACTTTATATGCATTAAAGCTTTTCACCTTGAGGTTGGGACTACTATTATCTCCCTTTTATAGAGGACTAACTGGTGATCAGGAGGATTAACTAAATTACCCAATTTTATGTGGCTATTAAGTGGTAGAGTTAAGACTGAGCTATAATATGGGAGGAATATTGACCAGAGGGAAATGTCTATTGAAAGATTTACCCAGATATTTTCTCCTAATGCTAGGATTGGGCAACTATTTGCAAGACACATAATTATCTTCAACTTCCTTTCTGCCAACTTGCCAGACATATTCTAGGAGCTTAATCACTCTTGAATCAGTGAATGAACCATATTCCTTCCTGTCAAAACTTCTATTTTGTTTGGTTCATCTGTAGAGTGCTTTTGACACTTGAGAACTCAGTGAAAGAAGTAATATTTGATCATTGATTAATTTGAATTCACACTGTGATACATTCACACTGGAGCTTTTGTGATGTGATGGTCCAAGCCATGTAGCTACTCGCAATTGGATTAACGATCTCTGGATCTTAACATCTGTGTGGTCTTAGGCAACTCACTGAGTTGTCAGTTTCCTTATTTGCATATAGAGGGTTAACTTTTTCAGTCCCTTATTTGCTTATCTTACAAGGTGAGGAATCTAAATCCTTTATTTGAAATGTTTTCCTTCTGAACGGTAGTATCTGTGCTTTTTTGGTGATAGACTTCATAATAAGATATTCATACACTTGTGAGCTACATGGTTTGCTTTTATAATAATGGGGAATTTTTTTCTCATAACCAGAGTGGTATAGCTGGTGTGAATGTAGGACGTGATATTAATACGAATCAAGTGAATATAGAGATTTAGTTTATATTTTTCCTTTGGTCAATAACCCCAAGTCCAAGATGTATTTGTTTTTAAAGAAATAAAAACTAAATAGCATAAAATTATATGTTAGTTCTTTGAGACTTTTTCAGTTGGTTAGCTGACTAAAGACTTTACTGCTTGATGTCTAATATTCATTTATTATATGTTACTTATAACTGTGTGTATGTGTGTGTGGGGTGTGGGTGTGTGTGCACACATATGCACACATACACATGGTCTATACTGAAAACATCAGGCTCTCTTCCTTGTGGAGGAAGTTAATCCAACCAAGCTGGACTGAGAGTTTCTTAAGGTATTGTGGAGAGACTAGACAAAGTATATGCTTTAGAATCAGATACTTGGAGAATTCCCAGGTGATCCAGTGGCTAGGATTCCATGCTTCCAGTGTCATGGGCATGACTTTGGTCCCTGGGCAGGAAAATTTAGAGTGACAAGGCCAAAAAGAAAAAAGAAAAAAAAAATTGAACTTAACTAGAATCAGATTCTTGGAGTCAAATATCTGATAGAATCCCAACTCCTAAATTTCATCAGTTGTGTGACCATGGGTAAATTACTTAAAGTTTTTAACTGCCCATATTTTTGGCCTATAAATGTGAATAGTGAATTATTTGCAGTCATTGGAAAGACTAGAAGTAAGTAGTGCAAAGTGCCAGGTACAGGCTGGATCCAAAGAATTGTTTGACCACTTACCTCCATCATTTTTGTCTTTCTGAATCTCTCCTTTGTCACTCTAGGTCTTCGTTTTGCTTCCTCTTGGAAGTGGTACCCTGCTGCTGTGACTCTAGGGGTCCTTTGTCTGGGACTACTGGTGACCGTGATATTGTTGATACAGCAATGTAAGTGTTGAAGCAGGGAAAGAAGGGGCAAAAAAAAAAAAAAAAAAAAGAGGGCTTTTAAACACGGTTTATTAGTTGGTTTCATAGTAACTATAAACCACCTTGATTTAGATACATTTGAGGCAGACCATTTTTAGGAGTGAATGGGAAGATGAATGAGTTTATTGTCTTCTTTCCTCAAATAGATTGAGGCATGGGATGAAGATTACACATATTAGGTTTTTGTTTGATTTTGTTTCCAGAACTTCATGGATAGTCCATTTAAATCCCAGAATAATGAGGAAGGAAATAATTTGAAGTTACTAACCCATAAGATCACCAAAGGGACCCATAAAAAGACACTTCATTTAGTTCACACTGAGTTTTAATACAAATTATTAAATACCAGTTTTAAGTTAACTCAGAAACACAGTCTTCATAAATAGAATATTTAAAATAGAACAGTCTTCGGATTTACAATATGGCCGTTTAGGAAAGAGGGGATGTCAAGAGGAAAAGAAATGAAGAGGTGAAAGTGACCAAGAAAGGGAAAAAACGGTGATGATCATAAATCTAACCCATCTATGTATTTAGGTTATAGCTTTGAGCTATTTTAGCTCTCTAGAATCTAAGTTACGAAGGCCTTTGAAGTGCTAATTTGTTCCTCAATTGGTGTTTAAGGTCACAAACCACTTATTTTTTCAATCTATGAACACTTTGAACCTGTAAATCCTTTCCTAAAGATGTGGGAGAAGAGCCCTTGACTCAGTGGTGGTCATTGGAAGAGTCTTCCTCTGAGGTTCTGACCACTTTTTAACAGGGTCAAGTATGGTTTTCAAGCCAAAGGGTCTACTTTGTACTGAACCATCAAACTTATAGAACTGAGACATTGGACCCTTAACATTTGTAGCCTGCTTGATTTCACAACCTTCCTTTCATCTCCACCCTTCCTAAAAAAAAAAAAAAACAGGCTAAAATTGAAAAATTGTTTTCATATTCTTGCGAAAGCAGCTTAAAATAATCCCATGGGAGAGTTTCTCAAAAACAGGGTGTCACAGTTTTTATGTAAAATCAGGAAGTGTGGACGGGTGGAGAAAGGGCAATTAAGACACAGTAGAGTAAATCATTAATGACAAGTCCTACTAATAGTCACTGAGTATGATTTGTGTCTGCCTATTTTAGATTATCTACATTTTACTTATGCCATTGATAAATGATTTAACCTGTGATTTCTTTTAACTTGTGTGTAACTCTCAGTAACAAGTAAAATCCTGTTTGTTTGTTTTTTAATCATAAGTATCTGAGACAGTTTCCAACATTATATATATATGTCAGAAATATCAAATAACTTCCAAATCTATAATTTGAGTAAAGCTGGGTTGCTTTGTTGTCAAAACAGATGGTTTGATTCTGTTTTTAGATTTCTTCAAAATCCAGTGGAGGATGTTTTTTATTGGGAACTGGAATTGGAATCTCAATTTAGTTCTAATTTAGTATCCCAGGTGTCTGAGCTCCTAAAGCAACAGCAAGCAAACCTTACTCACCAAGAAGATATCCTGGAGGGACAGATTTTAGCCCAGCGCCAATCAGAAAAATCTTCCCAGGAGTCACAGAAGGAACTCAAAGAAATGATAGAAACCCTTGCCCACAAGCTGGATGAGAAATCCAAGAAACTAATGGAACTTCATCACCAGAACCTGAATCTTCAAGAAGTTCTGAAAGAGGCAGCAAACTATTCAGGTATGAGGAAGAGAGGGGGTCAAGAGAAACAATAGAAGCTTATCTGTGAATCTTAACCTTTCTTTTGCAATGTCCCAAGGACAATATTGGTGTATGGATGTATGTATCATTTTTCATTCATCAGGTTCTACATTATAGGTCCTCTATTTTTGTCATCCTTGCTCTGGAGAGTGAAGTTGCTCAGTCGTGTCCGACTTTTTGTGATCTCATGGACTGTAACCCACCAGGCTCCTCTGTCCATGGAATTTTCCAGGCAAGAGTACTGGAGTTGGTTGCCATTTCCTTCTCCAGGGGATCTTCCAGACCCAGGAATCTAACTCAGGTCTCCTGCATTACAAGCAGACGCTTTACCCTCTGAGCCACCAGGGAAACCCCTATCCGATGTCATCCTCACTCTATCACATTTCAAATTGTTGAGATTATCTGATTCAGTCAACCACATTTTCTGGTGGATTTAAGCTTTCCTTCCTCACAAGAGCCTTCTCTTTCTTTTTAAGATTTTAGTTTTGAGATTTTCTGGCAGGATCCTCCTACTTCTTGGTACAGATTCTCATCTCTTTCCATTCCAATGTATTGTAATTACTGATTTCTTTTCCCAAGTGGTCTCCTTTGGCCTGGGAACTCCCACCTCTTCATTAGCTTTATTCTATGGGACTGTTTCTTAAAGTATACAACAACATCAACATAAGTTGAATCAACAGAGGTGAGCTGGCTTGTAAGTGTTAAGTAGATATTTCAAATCAGACAAAAATGTGAGGGACCCAGGAAGTCAGTGCATATGAGAAGAACTGAGTTGATCTCAGTCAAAGAAATGAACTCAGAATCAAGGAGGCAGGTAGAAAAAGTAGCATCTGTAATACGCAGAGGATAATGTGAACTCTGATAATATTACAGAAGTGATCCGTACGTACTATTTAGTTTTCCAACAATGTGTAATTAAATCAGGCATATGCTTTTAGTCATGGGGAGCATTAAAAAGTGCGAAATGGAGTCACTTTCATTAGTACCTTGCTTTCTTGGTGGGGTGCCTGAGAATCTTATTCTTGACATTAGCACCTAACTGCCAGTAATAAACAGAGATTTCTCCAGCTTCTTGCTTGTATAGCTCATGGTCTCAACCATGTAATTTTGCTGACTAAAGATTACATAGTAACAGTTTACAGATACCCATGCATTTTATTTTCTAGATCAAAACGTTGAAAGCCAGGTAAGTTTAATGATAAGTAGGTTCATATAAACTTTTGCAGTTTACAAATATCTTCATTATGTATGGGCTCAGTCATGCCTGACTCTTTGAGACCCCATAGGTTGTAACCCACCGGGGTCCTCTGTCCATGGATTTCTCCAGGCAAGAACACTGGAGTGAGTAGTCATTTCCTACTCCAGGAGACCTTCCCAACCCAGGAATTAAACCCACATCTCCTGCATTGGCAGGCGGCGGATTCTTTACCACTGTGCTACCTGGGAGGCCCTCAGTATGTACAGGGTTATTTAAATTTCCAAAATGAGCAGAAATTTTTAGACAAGCTGATTTTTTTAAGCAAGTGTCAATTGTATATTTAATCTCTTTAAGGAAAGAACAGCTGAGGAAATAAAACCATCTCAAGGCTTAAAGGAAGGAACCAAATATATCAAGGACAGGGATGTTTATATAAGCAAACATAGCTACATACCAAAAATGGTTTATCTCACAGGTGGGGCCATAAACTAGTCTTATTTTTATCAGTCGTATGGGATTAAAACTATGTCAGGACTGTTCAAAATCATCTTCCAGAGGTGCCAAGTTTAGACAACTAATAGAAAATACTAGATGATATGTCTTCTGCTGGCAGACATGACTTTGATCAAGCAGCTTTGAGGAGATTCTCAAAAGCAACAATAAAATACTATACAGAAAAATATGCCAGTTTTCTCAAGTTTGAGATAAGTTTTATCTTTCTTACTGACAAGTCTGTGATTCTCCATAAAAGTATGAAGAAGGCGAGATGCTCAGAAATTCGCATATGTAGTTTGCCTGAGGTCAGCCAGCTAGAAAGATGCAGTGCCTTCCAAGTAACAGATATTTTAGCACTGGAATTAGTGGTGGTTCTCAACCTTTAGTGTACATAATTGTTACCCACGTAGCTTGTTAAAAGTAGCAAGTTCCAGATTTACCTCAAAACACTGTATCAACATGTCTTGATGGGCACCAAGAAGTATTTCCTCAATTCATTCAAACTCAGAAGCTTGACAGGTAATGTGATATAATGGGGGCTTCCCAGGTGGTTCACTGTGTAAATAATCCACCTGCAATGCAGGAGTAGCTGGAGCTGCAGTTCGATCCCCGGGTTGGTGGTGATAAGTGATAGTGAAGTCGCTCAGTCGTGTCTGACTCTTTGTGACCCCGTGAACTGTAGCCCACCAGGCTCCTCCATCTATGGGATTCTCCAGGCAAGAATACTGGAGTGGGTTGCCATTTCCTTCTCCAGGGGATCTTCCCAAACCCGGGATCAAACCTGGGTCTCCCACATTGCAGGCAGACGCTTTAACCTCTGAGGCACCAGGGAAGCCCTCGATCCCTGGGTTGGGAAGATCCCCGGGAGGAGGATATGGCAACCCACTCCAGTATTGTTGCCTTTAGAATCCCATGGACAGAGGACCCTGGTGGGTCTCAAAGCGTCAGACACTACTGAAGTGACTAAGCACACACGTGTGGGATATACTGATTAAACACACAGATGCTGGATTTAGACTGCCTAAGTTCAAAGTCTCATTTTCTCTGTCTTTCAAATGAAGAAAATAAATGAATTTATACATACTGCTGTTTTGAGGATTAAATGAGCCAATACATAAAAATTACTGCCAACCATTTCTGGCACCTAGCAGTTTTTTGTGTTTGTTAAATAAAAAATAATTAAAGAAATACAGGTGGTTTGAATACACTATGAGATTCATCTTTTCCACTTTTTTATGACTTGAAAAACCTACCTAGACTTTTCTTTTAGTTCAAGAAAATCAATATACTTTTTCCTTCAACATAGTTAGACAGGACTATGCAAATTGGGAAGAATCTTTCATTCTTGGCTTTCAGCCTGGTGTTATGTACGTCATTTTTCATTCACTTTCTCCTTTCATAGTTCAGTGCCCTTCTATTTTGTCCTCTCTGATAAAACCTGTTCTTACAAAATTATCTGATGATTTTATGCCACAAAGTGAAATTGAAATGTTGCCTTTCTCAAGGATTTGAGTTTTATATTTTTGGTCACAGCATAGAACAAAGGGCTTTTTCCCTAGTAGAGAGGTTCCAAGTTTCAGTAACACACAGAAGAGATGGTGATGATGGTAATGAAGAAAGGAAGAAAGGGGAAGGGTGAGAGGGAGAAAGGGTGAGGGGAAGTGAGAGGCAGAGGGAAAGGAGGAGAAGGAATCGGGGAGCGTTTAAAATACCTGTAAACACATAGACAGGTTTCCCTGGTGGCTCAGAGAGTAAAGAGCCTGCTTGCAATGCAGGAGACCTGGGTTCGATCCCTGGGTTGGGAAGTTCCCCTGGAGAAGGAAATGGCAGCCCACTCCAGTATTCTTGCTTAGGAAATCCGAAGGACAGAGGAGCCTGGCAAGCTACAGCCCATGGGGTCACAAAGAGTCAGACATGGCTGAGCGACTAAATACACACAGACACACACACACACAGACACACAGACCACAGACCCTGTCATGTTTCTGCCTGTCTCCTAAGCCCCGAGGTTTTTGGACTCCCTGGGAATTTTGCTGCTGAAAACTCTCTACCTACTGAAATCCTGTTGAAATGGAGATGCCCACTTTACTTCCATATACTGTTCTCCCTAAAGCAGCTCTGTCCAAAAGAAAATACAGGGTATACCACACATGTGACATTAAAGCTTCTATTATTCTATAAAATATTACAGAAAAAAACTTGAACAAACTTTTTGGCTACCCCAATAGGAGCCACATGAAAAATGAAAAAGAAAGAGATGAAATTAATTTTAGTGAAGTATTTTATTTCATCCAATACACTTGAAATGTTATTGCAACACTGATCAGTATAAATATTATTTATGTGATATTTTACATTCTTTTTTCATACTAAATTTTCAAAATTAGGAGTATTTTATACATACTTCAAATCTCAATGCAGATGAGCCACTACTCAAGTACTCAAAAGCCGCATAGGGCTACCTATCCAGAAGTAAGAGTTACAGGATCTAAGCCTAAATTTGTTATTCAAAGAGCTGAAGCTTTAAAATATATAAGCACATCTTTTAGTAACAGAATAGCTATTAAATATTCATCCCCTAACTCATTTCCATAGTTCCAAACATAATTTTAAAAAAGTAGATCAGTTTCTAATATTACATCCCAGCTCAAGCCTTGCTTTTTAATAGCCTCGCTTTTTAATTTAGTTTTCTAAAACTAGAATGCATTTCTTTTTCTCCAAAAAGAAAAAGGAGAAATAAAGACTCTAGGCTATTTAGGGATGTGCAGAGTCTGGGTATAATTCTGATTAAGAAGAGATGGTATGCATGTGGGAGTCCTGAGAGGTGAACTGAGTTCAGAATTATAGAAATATTAATATTTTTTCTCAGGCATAACTCACTGATTAGATATACTATATTTCCTAGGTCCTTGTCCCCAAGATTGGCTCTGGCATGAAGAAAACTGTTACCAATTTTCCTCTGGCCCTTTTAATTGGGAAAAAAGCCAGGAGAACTGCTTATCTTTGGATGCCCACTTGCTGAAGATTAATAGTACAGATGAACTGGTGAGTGTTCAATGGATGCGTGGGATGTCTGTCAGGCTGGAATATTGGGTCATAGGTAAGTAGATCTGGTTTAGACCCTCAGTAGAGGAGTGCTTGCTTAAGAATCAGAATATGTACCTTATTTCTAGCCTTGTGTGGCCACTGGATATGTGCGTGACCTTGGATGGACAGGTTACTAAGTATTTCTAGGCTCCACTAGACATCGCTGTAAAGACATGGAGAGGATGTCAAAGTTCTCTTTGGGTTCTTTAGTTTTGTGAATCTAATCTAAAAAGTCCACATCCACTCATTCTTCAACCCATAATTGTTACTCCCCACAGGAATTCATCCAGCAAGTGATGGCCCATTCCAGTTTCCCCTTCTGGATGGGGTTGTCAATGAGGAAACCCAACTACTCGTGGCTTTGGGAAGATGGTACTCCTTTGAGGCCCCACTTGTAAGTTTGTTGTTCTTTTTTAGTTTTGTTTATTTATTTATTTTTATTTTTGACTGCACCGGGTCTTTGCTGCTTTGCGTAGGCTTTCCCTAGTTGTGGCAAGCATGGGCTGCTCCCCTGTGTGGGCTTCTCATTGCAGTCGCTTCTCTTGTTGCCAGGCATGGGTTCTGGGGGGACAGGCTTCAGTAATTGTGGCACATGGGCTTAGTTGATCCAAGGCATGTGGGATCTTTCCAGAACAGGGATCAAACCCTTGTCCCCTGCATTGGCAGGCAGATTCTTATCCACTGAACAACCAGGGAAGTCCGTAAGTTTCTTATTCTTCATTGAACCTACTATTGAAGTTACTGCTACATTCCATGCAGTGTCCTCTTCTTGCTGGAAAGAAGCTTGGAGAATTTCTGAATCTCTCTCCAACTTTCTCACACAGGGACTTGCTCATTTACCCATTCGGATCTTCTCTTACCTTTTCCTGCTCACATTTATTACTGACTTGAAGCTTTAAGACAAGGTGGCAGTAAATCTAATTTTTCTTTTTTTTTTCTCCCTGCCTGCAGGTTTAGAATTCAGGGAGCTGTTTCCCATATGTATCCTTCAGGTACCTGTGCCTATATTCAAAGAGGAACTGTTTTTGCTGAAAACTGCATTTTAACTGCATTCAGTATATGTCAAAAGAAGGCGAATCTATTGAGAGCACAGTGAATTTGAAGGATCTGGAGGATAAGGAGGAGAAGACTTTTTTGAATTCTCTCCTGGAATTTAAGCTATACTTCATCACTTAGGTGTAAACCATAAGAGCCCCAGGAACTGCCTGCTACTAGTTGAGTGCAAAACCCCTTAGCAGAGACTGGGCCCAGTTGCCTGACACCTTGATAGCAAATGTTTTAATTCCCTCTGTATATTTTTCACTTAACTTGTTCCAAGTCCTCCCCTGCCAGACTTCAGAGAAGTCAATTTGCCTGTTTCCACTGTTTCTAAGAACTTGTTGTCTAACTCAAGGTCACAGCATTTTCCTCATTTTTGTCCTATGCTTTCTTCTAGACATTGTAGAGTTTCAGATTTTATGTGGAAATCTAGAACTTATTGTAGGTTAATTTTTAAGTGACATATGAATGTATGGAAGTTTTTTTTTTTTTTTTTGCTTATCTTTGCACTTTTGTCAATAATGATCCATACATACCTGGGTCTATTTCTTTCCATTGATTTCTTTATGATTCTTGGCTTACAACACCAGCATGATATTTTGAATTCTATGGTTCTTTAATATATCTTGAAATCACATGGTGGTAGTTATTCATTGTTGTTCTTTTTTAGAGTTGTTTGGTTACTCTATGTTTCTATGTTTTTCTATTTCTGTCTTAAATTGGCTTGTCAATTTCTAAAAAAAAACTTGAAATTTTGAATTGCACTGAATCCATACATAAATTTGGGGAAAATTGAATTCTTAAAAATATTGATTTGTTCAACTCATGAAAAACGTGTATTGCTCTATTTAGGTATTCCTTATTTTCTTTAAGCAATACTTTGTAATATTCTTTGTGTAGATGTTGTTAGATTATCATAATGTATTTCACATTTTTTATGCTACTGTAGATGGTATTGTTATCATTTATAGTTCTTATTTTCAAAGTCTTCTGCTAGTATGTAGAATTATAATAAAGTTTTTATTAATATTATATCCTGAAACCTTGATAAACTCACTTATTTCTTCTAGTAAGTATTTTGTGTGTGTATTTCATTGGATTTTCTATATATATAATCATGCTATTTGAGAAAAATACTTTTATTTTTTTCCTTTCTGGATGATTTCTTTTTCTTTTCCTTGCCTTATTTCATGGACTAGAATCTCTAGTAAAATATTGAATAAGAATGGTGAGAGTACATTTCTTTATTTTGGGAATAAGTCATTCAATGTTATACTAATAAATATGGTACTCTGTTTTTTTCACAAATGAAATTAACCCAGTTTGAGGAATTTTCCTTTTATTCCTACAGTACTGAGAAGTTTTATTAGGAATGGGTATTGATTTGTCTTGAGAAGAAAATGGCAACCTACTCTAGAATTCTCGCCTGGAGAGGTCCACAGACAGAGAAGCCTGGTGGGCTACAGTCCAAAGAAGCACAAAGAGTTGGACATGACTGAGAGACTAACACATTGATTTGTCTGATATTTTTCCTACATCTATTGATATGATTATATAGTTTTCTTTTTTTTCTAACAAGGTAAATTACACTGTATAATTATAGAAGGCTAAGCCATCTTTGGATTCTTGGGATTAAAATTATTCTTGGGGTTAAAATTATCACTTTAATATATCCACCAAATTTTAGATCCACTAAAGTTTGGCTTCAGTTCAGTTCAGTCGTTCAGTTGTGTCCGACTCTTTGCGACCCCATGAATCGCAACACGCCAGGCCTCCCTGTCCATCACCAACTCCTGGAGTTTACCCAAACCCATGCCCATCGAGTCAGTGATGCCATCCAGCCATCTCATCCTCTGTCGTCCCCTTCTCCTCCTGCCCCCAATCCCTCCCAGCATCAGGGTCTTTTCCAATGAGTCAACTCTTCGCATGAGGTGGCCAAAGTATTGGGGTTTCAGCTTCAGTATCAGTCCTTCCAATGAACAGTATGAGAAAGTTTGGCTTAGAATTTTTGCAACTATGTTTATGAAGGATATTGATATGTAATTTTTTTCATGTAATGGCTTTGTCAGGTTTAGGTTCCAGAGAAGTACTCCTTTATGTCAATTTTTGGAAAGATTTTGTATAAAATTGGTACTATTTGTTTATTTAGTGTTTGCAGCAATTTGCCATTGAAGTCATCCGGGCAAAAATTTTTCTTTGTTTTATAAGATTTTTAACTACTTACAGTTAAACAGTCCATTTCTTTAACAGATGCAGTGCTATTCAAATGATTTATTCTTGAATGAGCTTTGGTGGCTCTGTCTTTTGAGGAATTTGTCCATTTCATCTAAGTTTCTATTTTTTTTTCTTTTTCTAGCCTCACATTTTTCTTTATATTTTCTTATTATTTTAATATTTCTAGAGTTTGTAGTGATGCTATCTCTCTCATTCCTGACATTGTTTACTTGTGCCACCTTTAAAAAAAATCAGTTTGGCTCTATAATGTTTGCTTTGAAATCTATTTGGATGAAGTGAATACAGGCAGTTCTGTTTTTCTGTGATTAATGTAAACCTTGTGTATCTTTTTCCATTCTTTTGCTTTTTAACTTATTTTTGGTTGCACTCGATTTTCATTGCTCTGTGTGGAATTTCACTCGTTGCAGCAAGCAGAGGCTTCTCTTCTTTGCAGTGCCTGTGCTTCTCATTGCAGTGACTTCTCTTACTGTGCAACATAAGCTTTAGTAGTTGAAGCATATGGGCTCAATAGTTGTGGCACACCGGCTTAGTTGCTCCATGGCACATGGGATCTTCCTGGACCAGGGATCCAGCCTGTGTCCCCTGCATCGGCAGGCAGATTCTGATCCACTCTACTACCAGCAAAGTCCCTATTCTTTTACTTTTAATCAGTTTTTGTCTTTGTACTTAGAGTCTGCTTATTTCAGGTGACAGATAGTTGAGTCTTGCTATTTCATATACTTTGACAATTTCTGCCTGTGTTTATGTGTTTAAATGATTAAATTTATTGTGACATTGATGCAATTAGATTTAAGTCTGTCATCCTGATATCACCTTCACTTTTCCAACTCACCTTTGCTGCCTTTCATGCTTTTCTTGTCTACTTTGGTGTTAATTAAATATTGCTCCAGAAATAAGGGATGGAGCCAAAGAAAAAACAACACCTAGTTGTGGATGTGACTGGTGATAGAAGCAAGGTCTGATGCTGAAAAGAGCAATATTGGATAGCAACCTGGAATGTTAGGTCCAAGAATCAAGGCAAATTGGAAGTGATAAAACTGGAGATGGCAAGAGTGAACAGTGAACATCAACATTCTAGGAATCAGCGAACTAAAATGGACTGGAATGGGTGAATTTAACTCAGATGACCATTATATCTACTACTGTGGGCGAGAATCCCTTAGAAGAAATGGAGTAGCCATCATAGTCAACAAAAGGTTCCGAAATGCAGTACTTGGATGCAATCTCAAAAATGACAAAATGATCTCTGTTCATTTCCAAGGCAAACCATTCAATATCACAGTAATCCAAGTCTATGCCCTGACCTGTAACACTGAAGAAGCTGAAGTTGAACAGTTCTATGATGATCTACAATACCTTTTAAAACTAACACCCAAAAAAGATGTCCTTTTCATTATATAGGACTGGAATGAAAAAGTAGGAAGTCAAGAAACACCTGGAGTAACAGGCAAATTTGGCCTTGGAGTACAGAATGAAGCAGGACAAAGGCTAATAGCATTTTGCCAAGAGAACACACTGGTCATAGCAGACACCTTCTTCCAACAGCACAAGAGAAGACTCCACACATGGTCATCACAAGATGGCCAACACCGAAATTAGACTGATTATATTCTTTGCAGTCAAAGATGGAGACGCTCTATACAGTCAGCAAAAACAAGACTGGGAGATGACTGTGGCTCAGATCATGAACTCCTTATTGCCAAATTCAGACTTAAATTGAAGAAAGTGGGGAAAATCACTAGACCATTCAGGTATGACCTAGATCAATTCCCTTATGATTATACAGTGGAAGTGAGAAATAGATTTAAGGGACTAGATCTGATAGACAAAGTGACTGATGAATTATGGACGGAGGTTCATGGCATTGTACAGGAGACAGGGATCAAGACCATCCCCAAGAAAAAGAAATGCAAAAAAGCAAAATGGCTGTCTGAGGAAGCCTTACAAATAGCTGTGAAAAGAAGAGAAGCCAAAAGCAAGGGAGAAAAGGAAAGATATAAGCATCTGAATGCAGAGTTCCAAAGAATAGCAAGGAGAGATCAGAAAGCCTTCTTCAGTGATCAGTGAAAAGAAATAGAGGAAAATAATAGAATGGGAAAGACCAGAGATCTCTTCTAGAAAATTAGAGATACCAAGGGAACATTTCATGCAAAGATGAGCTCAATAAAGGAAAGAAATGGTATGGACCAAACAAAAGTAGAAGATATTAAGAAGAGGTGGCAAGAATACACAGAAGAACTGTACAAAAAAGATCTTCACAAACCAGATAATCATGATGGTGTGATCACTCACCTAGAGCCAGACATCCTGGAATGTGAAGTCAAGTGGGCCTTAGGAAGCATCACTAAGAACAAAGCTAGTGGAGATGATGGAATTCCAGTTGAGCTATTTCAAATCCTAAAATATTATGCTGTGAAAGTGCTGCACTAATTATGTTAGCAAATTTGGAAAACTCAGCAGTGGCCACAGGACTGGAAAAAGTCACTTTTCATTTCAATCCCTAAGAAAGGCGATGCCAAAGAATGCTCATACTACAGCACAATTGCACTCATCTCACACGCTAGCAAAGTAATGCTCAAAATTCTCCAAGCCAGGTTTCAGCAATATGTGAAATGTGAACTTCTAAATGTTCAAGCTAGTTTTAGAAAAGGCAGAGGAACCAGAGATCAAATTGCCAACATCCACTGGTTAATTGAAAAAGCAAGAGAGTTCCAGAAAAACATCTATTTCTGCTTTATTGACTATGTCAAAGCCTTTGACTATGTGGATCACAATAAACTGGAAAATTCCGAAAAGTTGGGAATACCAGACCACCTGACCTAC